CATATAGGGACTCTTATCTAAGTTTTGAGTAACTTTTAAAAATTCAATAATATTCATTTGGTAAATCACAGCTGCAATATGCAGCATTGTCTTATGCAAACTCATAATTCCTCACCTTGTCATTGATGACTGACTTTCATTCAGTTGATCAATCTGCTCTTCTAAATTATGTATCTTATCCAAATATTCCAACTCCTTATCTCCTCCACTACCTCCTCCTCCTCCTTTCACTCTCTCTCCAGTCTCTCTTATTGTATTATCAGGGGTTAGCTGACTCAATTGCGTTTCTAATGTCAATACTTTCTTCTCTTCTTTCATCAGCCTCTCTCTAGCAGAATGAGCTTCAGTTTTAGCCACTTCGAGCGATTGCTTCAAATCAGCAATCTCAATGAGATACCACTCCTCCCTCTCACCCTCAGATCCGGTTTGAAGACTCATCTGTTGCCTTCTTTTCAAAAACTCCATTTCTGTCTTGTGCTTCACCACAGCAGCCTCAAGCTCCTCCTTGCATTGCTTCTTTACAGCAGATACTTCTTGCTTCAGTTTCAACTGGTAGTCAGAGACTAGACCCTCTAATTCAATGACCTTATGCTCGCTTGCCTCTCTCTCCCTATTTCCCTCTTCTTCCATTATTTGCAGTCTTTGTCTCAGTTCCTCACAGTCAGTTGTTAGTTCTAATACCTGTGTCTCCATATTTGATTCTGCCGATGAACGAGAAAGGTTCTTCACCTCAAGCTCTTGAGTGAGTCTCTGGTGCTCTTTGTTTGCTTTGGTGAGGATCTCTTCCATCTTCTCCTGCCATTCCTTATCAGCTTGTACCAGTTTGCGCTCGCTTTGTCTGAGTTTCTTCTCAAGGCCTTTGATCTCGGTCAGCTTCTTTTCCAATCTCTCACTTGCTTCTTTCTCCGATTGGCTCCTTCTATTTTCGCTGTCAGTCAGTTCTCTCTGAAGATCGTCTCTCTCATTTCTAATGGCCGCCAGTTTTAGTGCAAGCTGCTCATTCCCTTCCTTTGACTCTGTTTCTTTTACGTGTAGTACTCTCTCTTTCTCTTCCAGTGATTTCTTTAATCCCGTGAGCTCTTTCTCCATCTCTTCATGACTAGAGGAGAGTTCAGAGTACTCTTGGGATTTCTCAAACAACTCGCTCTCTTTCTCTCTCAAAGACGCCTCCAATTGTACGAATCTCTCGCTGTGAGTCTTCTCCAGCTGCTCTAGTTGTGACTGAAGAGAACTCACCTTTCCAGAGAGCCCCTGTCCCCTCTCCTCCAGGCTCTCGTTCTTTCTCTTCAGGTCTTCAAAGGACGCGGTCATTGACTCCAACTTCTTTTCTTTCTCAAGTAGCTGCCTCTTAAGTTCTGACTCCGTCTTCTCAAACTGAGCTGTCAGTTGCTTCTTTATGGTCCCTAGCTTGCCCTCAGCTTTCTTCTTTATCTCTTGTCTTGCTGCCTCTACTTGTTTCTCTACTGACGAAGAAGACTCAGTCTGTGCCTTTGATGCTTCTTCTTTGGCTTTATGAGCTTCTTGTTGTAATTTTACAACCAGTGCTTGCTTCTCTGCCAGAGTCTCTCTTACTCCTTGTATCTCTTTGTCTTTAATTTGATTTTGGCTGGTCATAGATTCGTTTAGATCTTTCAAGGAGCCCGAGAGAGCTTCATTCTCAGATTTCAGTGTCATTATTTCTTTGCTCAGTCTGTCTCTATCTTGTTCAATGTTTCTGATTGTTTCCTTCAACTGTTTAACTGCGAGAGAGTTGCTCTGTCTCTCAC